AGAAATACTTGAAGAGAACAGTCGCGAATAATTCATTCGAGGTGTAGTCTCTCCTCGTGCGAGACAATTCTGAAAAATGCATTGTGAACTGGTGAAATAGCTGAAGAGAACAACCTGAAATTATTCATTAGACATGTGACTTCTCTTCATGTGACGATTCCGAAAAATACCTTGTGAAATGAGAAAATAGTTGACACGAGTCAACTGAAATTATTCATTTGTTATCTGATATCTCCTTCAATCACAGTTCCGAGAAGTACACTATGCAGCGAAAAAATACTTGAAGAGAATCAAGTAGAACTGTTTAGTTATCATTTGATCTTTCATGGAATCAATTTCTGCAAATATATTTCGAAATAACGAAATAATTGAAAACAGCTACCTAGAATTATTTATTTATCATAAGAGTTCTTATCATACTATAATTCAGACAAAACATTTCGAAGCGAGAAGGTAGTTGAAGAGAGCCAAGTAGAAGTTTTTATGTCTCACATAATCTCTTTTCCTATAATAATTTCAATAAATACATTTCAATGTAAGGGAATAGTTGAAAAGAGCCAACTAGAATTATTCATTTGTCATGTGATCTCTGTTTATGTGACAATCGAACAAATATACTTCGAAGTGAGGAAATAGTTGAAGAGAACAACCTCAAATAATTCATTCGACATGTGATCTTTCTTGATGCAACAGTTCAGACAAGCATACTTCGAAGTGAGGGAATAAATTAATAGAGCAACCTAAAACTATTTATTTGTCATGTAATCTCTTCTCTTGCGATGGTTTCAACAGACACACTTCGAAGCGAAGAAATAGTTGTAGAGACCCAACTAGAATTGTTTATTTGTCATGCAATTTTTTCTCATGTGATATTTCCGACGCACATACTTCGAAGTGAGAAAATAGTTGAAGAGAGCAACCAGTTGCTTGCTCTCTTCAGCTATTTCTTCACTTTGACGTCTGCTTATCGGAATTATGACAAGAGAAGATATTACATGTCAAGCGCACATTTTAGGTTGCTGTTCATGTACATCCTTACATTAAAGTGTATTTGTTGGAAACGTCTAATAAGAAGTGATCACATGGTAGATTAATTTTTCTATGAGCCTCTCTTCAACCAATTCGTTACTTCGAAGTGTACTTAGCAGAATCATTGGATATGAAGCGATCATACGACAAATGAATATTTCTCGCCATAGCTCTTTTCATCTATTTTCTCATTTCGAAGTATGTTTGTCGAAATGGCAGCATAAGCAGAGGTCACATGTCAAGTAAATAATTCTATATCATTATTTATTTGACATGGAATATCTTCTCATGCAATAATTCCGATTAGTAGACTTCAAATTAAGGAAATAGTTGAACGAGGCTAGATAGAACTGTTCATTGAACATAGGATTACTCCTTATGTGAGAATTCCGAGAAATATACTTCGAAGCGAAAAAAAATAATCGAAGAATTATCAAGAATCGTTCGTTTGTCATGTGATATGTCATCGGGCGATGAACTCCAGATGATACTTTAAGGTGAAGAAATAGTTAAACTAAACATGTAAATGAACAAGTAGGTCTTTATAATAGAAAGTATTCTAAATGATGTAATTGTTTTGGGTTTTTTTATAGGAACAAACGTACTCAACAGTATTCGTTAAAAAAGGATATCATGAAGCATTATGTACAATTTTGAAAGATTTCTGCTTTTTTAATAACAATGGATTTTCAGCTTTTTTTCGTTTCATTAATACTTTATTTTTATTTTTTTTCAATAAATATATTTATCGGCAGCACACTTTTGTTTTATCATTGAAATTATATTTGAGAACATGTCTGTCAAAAGGATCATGGGGATGTAGCACCACTGTTGTTGTTGTTGTTGTTCTGATGTGGAGCATTTGTACGCTCCTTTTTACTTCTTCAGTTCAGTAATGTATATGTGTTGGTCACATGATATTGATAGCAAATGTACAATTTGTGAACCGATCATAACTAAGAAAGAATAATGATAACTCGTGTACATGCGCTAGTAGAAACTTTAGATCATATCTTTATAGATGATTCACAATAGTCGCTGACTGTTGTCTTCTTCATTTGATTTGTTATGGTTCTCTGTGTGTTGGGACATGAAATTATGTCCTGGTTGTTTCATATGATAGATCATAGGAAAAAAAAACGGCTTTATGAAATATGTCACTTCTGTACAGAAGTACGATTAATAGATGGGGAGAGGCGTCTATGTGCATTTCTATTCGAGTTGACTTGTGACCTATATTAAATATAATGTTCAGACTTTTTTGCAAGGCAAACAATTTTTTCTTCACCTCATTTGGCTCTTTCTTATTCTATCATTTCTAATTCAACTTTTTGTTCCAATATTGATCAAATTTCTAGATGTACCATATCATTTCTATTAAAAATAACGTTATCTATCTTTAGTTTTCACCAAAACTGAATCAATATATTGCAAAAGTGGTTCTATTGAATCAACAGAAATATAGAATGATGCTCCAGTTGAAATAAATAAATCTGATACACTTCAATTTACTAAAATGCTCGCATATTGTATAATTTTCTAATTAGAGACACAGTGATCATTTTGTTTTTTGTGAAAATTTCTTCTGCATAATCGCAACAGAGAATCGAAGTCACTACCCTAGTTTGAGCTTCATAGATTGTGTTATCTGAAAAATATGGGTGTAGATACGAAATACAATTTCCTAAAAATTACGAATTTTTATAAAGTTTGACCAAAGGTAGTCGGAATCGAATAATTCAAACCTGTAATCTGTTTCTCAAAATTTTTAGTTTCATTTTTTTACTAAGAAATATTTTTTTTCTGTAAAATAATAGTTCTTTCGCAAAAAAGTTTTTTTTAGTAAAAAAAATGAGACTCATAATTTCTAGATATTCATCACAGATTTAGATTTCTCGACCTCTCTTTTACCTTTGGTCAAACTTTATAAAAATTCGTAATTTTTAAGAAATTGCATTTCATTCGATGAATTTGGAAAGATTTCATTAAAAGTCACACCCCTGAGTATGGATCTTCTCTTGAAACTAGCACTGATCAATTCTCATTACGGAGATCATTCCAACAATAGTAATATGCATTAGTTTAACTTCAAATTTATATGACACTATTCAATAGTCGAATATTGATATCTACAACTGTCAATGATTCATCCTGTGAAGACACGATTCTAACATGATCTCATAAGGATGTGAGTGTGGAATGGTGGCAGATGTGGACGAAAATGAGACCGGCATTCTTTTTATAGGCGAATATTCCAGAAAAGAAACAAATATCTCATTTCAGTGTCAAATGAGATAGTATACGAAATGTGCTCTATGAAGTAGTCGACTCAGTTTTTCATTAGGACAACATTCATTTTTAATCTTTATTTTCTTCAAACAGTACAATAAAAATACAATACAACCATTTATATGCACAACAACAAATTTTTGTTATTTATTTCGAACATTGAGGATGGATAAAAGGAGGCAAGATAAGAGATTTAGAGTTGACTCACACGTATTATTAAGTGAGATGGGAAGGAGCAATTTGAGCGTCATCTTGAGTACGTTGCTGTGAAGCAGCAGGATTCTTTTTCATGCGAAGTGAGCTCATGATTTGATGTCGAAAGCCACGACTCGAAGCAATTGAAATGTAGAAACTAGAAAAAAAACACGATGACATTATTGCAAATTCAACAGCAAAACATGGAGTTCCGACAATAACGTCATAGAAATCTTTCTTAAGGCATGATGAAATGAAAGTTTTCGATGCAACTAATTCACAAAACTGCGGAGAGTTTTTTAAAATATTTCATTTATAAAAACGTAAACAAAAGGTGAGTTTTGAAACATTTCTAGAATACGAACCCTTTCTACTTTGATTATGATTGTTCACTAATTGAAAACTGAAAACTATGTTCTCATAAGTCAATCTATTAAAGTTGACTGACTTTATGGTGTTCAACTTCTTAGTGCTCTTCTTTTTGGCTCATGAGTCGCAATTCAATTCGACTATCCGTTCTCTCCGCAGATGTGTCTCTTTACGTCGGGCGCTATCAAAACTCAGAGAACAATAATGAACAGCTTGATCTTTCCTCATATATTTAATGATAACTCAGTAAAACCTGCAGCAATATTCGTGTAGTATAAGTCAAAAGATTTGTACCTTCCTGCTAAATCAGAAATAGGTTCTTCCTTCGGCAGATGGGCGAGCTTTCATTCTGAAATGTTTTTAGGTTCCGTTGTTCAAAAGCGGTTTTATATAAAAGTTACTCAAGCTTCGATGCTTAACAAAAAGTTCAGAAGGCTTTGTATTAGACCATAGAGATATTCTACTAAACTCTGAAGATTTAGTAAGTTTTGTACAAAAATCTTCTTTGGCCTACGGAATCTAAGAAAGTTGAAAATAAGACTTCTTACTATGTGCTCGAGGAAAGAATTTTTTTCTTGTTTATCAGTTTGCTATACATTTTTTTGAAATTTTACTCATATATGTTTTTTACAGTGTAAGTAAATCTTCTGACTGCGGAATTAGTTGAGATGGTTTCCTAATAAATCCTGCAGTCAGTCGACTTTCTCATTCGAGCGACGACCAATTGGCATTCTAATTTTTTAATGTAGCTTTATTTTTTGCATTTTCTTCTTTACATAACAGTACGAAGATTAAACTATTCATATTTCAATGAATTTTCCTGAAAACTTATTGCAAAAATGTATTTCGCCGAAAATCACATCACAGGACATAATATCAAACGACAATGTGCGAAAAATATTGATTATCCTTGTCAATAACTTGATGAGAGTGTAAATGAAATTAAATTCAAAAGGACTCAATTATCTAATAAAAATAAAATAATATTCGTATTAAACTTTTTTTTTCAATCTTGAAATCGTTTTTCTATTTGTTCTTCAAAAGTTTGAACAAGCAATAGAGCAAAATATATTGTCTTTTTGCTCTTTTGATTTTCTGTGGTCAACCTTCGATAAATTTCAGCGCTGATTTAATATAACATACCTGGTACTGAAGAAGAAATACGAGAGAAGATGAATAGTCTCAATCACAACAGCTTCCCAAGCACGACGTAGAGGAGATTTATACCAATTTTGACTAAGATTTGAATATAACAGCTCAGTTCCATATGGAACAAAAGAAGGAATAGCAGTGAATGTCTGCATCAATACCATGACAGATAGCTGTGCATCAATTTGCTGTAGAACTGATCGATTGATAATCGTCTTGTCAGCCACACCACCTATTGGTACCACTCGTCGATACATAACACGTCGAATGCTTCGAATGAGTAGAGTACCAAGTACAAGCAGAATTATGGGTGGACATAGACCAGACATGATCACTTCAAAAAAACTATCAAATCGTGCATAGGTACCCGTCTGAGCTGTGCATTTGCCGGTTGATATGTTGTAGAAGATGAGACGATGACCCAAAATAAATAACCAGATAATATAACATGTTGGTACCAATTTATAGGCAAGAGAAATACGATTACTCCATCGTCGAAAGGCTACAATGAAAATATTCATTTTCAAAACTCTACTATTCTTCAAAAAATATCCTATTTCCACTCGAACATATATTCACATCAGCACAGTGATCAAAATATACTCTAAAAACATATGTTCTATTTATCAGCGAAAAATAACGTTTGTACAACTGTAACATAAATTAATTTGAAACAGCAGATAGAAAATAAATTTTTCAAACTATAAAATAGGCATTTCTGTCTAAAACAGATGTGCTACAAATCTGTATCATGTTTTACTCATTCTGATCATTTATTCGCATACCATAAAAATATATTAAAAAATGATCTATCTTTCTTTTTTCCTGAATATTTAATATATTTCAATTGATGAATGAGAAATAGAATGCCCATTTGTCAGGCATGAAAAGTTATTTGACATAATCTTTGATGATATGGGTGATAATATTTGTTCAAAACTTATTCTGAATAATTTTTGATCATTGATTTTTTCATTTTTTTTTTCAAGGTACTAAAACGACTTCCTATTATTGTGTCTATGATTTCAATTTTTTGCGTATTCTTAAAGTAGTGCACAGCTTAAGAAGTTCAGCTTCAAGTACTAATTAATGAAAAGATAATTTTTTTCTCCACTTACCTATTGAACGCTGTGCTGATAGAAGTCGATCTATTGTGGCTAATGTAAACAAGGTGAATGCAACTTGATGTGTATATTCTGAGGCAAATTGTCGAAGTTTACAAAGAATATCGTAACGATCGATGACAGGAATTTGAAAGCCTTTTTGTAACATGCGTGTGACAAGTACAAAATTGAAATAGAATAAATTGATGAATGCCTCCCAGAATAAGTAGATCGAACAGGCTCGACCACGGAATACTTCTGAACGATAGACGAACATATTACCGATACAACTTAGATTACCCGTAATAAAAAGGAACCATCCAAAATAGATATTTAGCTGAAATGGAGCGATCAATAGGCCAATGCTGATACTATTATTGGAACTGGAACTCATAGTATGCTTAAATATTTTCAAAAAATGAATATTTTAAAAATCTGATCCTTTTCACGATAAGTGCAACAAAATGAAAGAGTAATTATGTGTTATACAGTCATGATGCTCTTACTCATTGTGTCGAATACGATCTCATTAGAGACGAGATTCAATGATCGACGACTAATCCTGAAAAATGAAATTCGAACTATTAATCAATTCAAAACAAAAGGCGAGTTATCATGTTTTGAATATATTTTGATAGGAACAAGATAGAGACTTACGATTTTCACCACTCGAAAGCTCAACCTCAGAGCAACAATTTTTTATTACATTCAAGTTGTCAATGAGACACAGGTATTAGATATTACTCCGAGTTTTATAAATCCATGCCATTTTTAGAACTTATATTGAATATTTTTGTTCATAAGTAAGTTAGAAAGCCGAAAGTATGCTTTATAGAATTACTCAGGTCACAGATTTCGATCTTGTTCCCTTTAGAGAGGGGATTGACATTACTGAGAGTAACCGGATGGTGCCAGAACACGATTTTTTTTTCTTCAAAAATTAAAAATATATGAGGAAATGTACTATTAAGCAGGCTAAACATCATAGTATATAATTATAACTGCATTAAAAAAATATTTTTAGATGCAATCAAAGAGTAGAGTATTTAAGTAAAGACGATAAATTGTGACAAATTTGATATTTTATGAGAAACATGCCAATTTATTTATGATGGATTTCAAAGTTACAGA